TGTAGTTTGATGAATAGTAGTGACAATTGTAGTACGCTACTATTCATCAAACGACTAGCATTGACGATGCAATATTGCTTATTTATTAATTAATACCACAACATCACACCCAGACACCCTAACACCACCCACACACCCACATATTGCATGGCATAAATTTTTGCCTGGTTAACTGCGTGATGGTGAATTAAAAGATCAGCTGTTGAGGAGCTTATCGCTCGGCAGCACTGGTGCATGTTATCACTCCTTTCCACTCCATCTCTCTTGTCACCCACACCTTTCTGCTTTCTCACTCCATATTTTAAAATCTTGTCTAACATAATGTTGAAGGGATACAATGCGATAAGTGTAAGTATAAAAAATACTGTATTTTAGCCTTATGTTTATTCAACACATCTTCAAGTCCTGAGACCTACTAATCCCCATCCAACAGTGGGTGACCTGGCATTGTATTAAGTCAGTAATATGAGACCACTAATACCGCACCCTACCTCCACCTGACATTGTGTCAGTTACATGAGACCCAGTAATCCCCCACAGCTCCAGGCGAGTGGAAAATACATACTGTACTGTACCAGTATTTGCTGTAACACACAGCTTCATTCACGACCATATCAAATAGATTTTTAGTTTAGACTCTTGGAAAACTCCCCAGCACACAGAAACATTCTGAGGATGTGGGCTAGTGTTTGTTTGTGCAAGATGCATAGTTTAGACACTTAGAAAGTATTTCCAGTAACCGGAAATATTTTCGAGGCTGGGGGATTTTTCCGGGTTTGAGAAAGTCACCTGGTTAGCTGGAAATCTCTCATCCCCGGAAGTGCTCTGCACCAATTGTTCCGGCAAATAGGGATATCACTATACAGTGAACCCTCGCTTTACGCGGTTTCAATTTACGCGTTTGTACATTTACGCGGTACCCTGCCAGAACCGGAATTCCCACTTTACGTGGTGCATCTACTCATATACGCGGGTGAAGTATAATTTTTTTATTTAGCTCATAAAATTCATACAAATTATCCGGCCAGAATATAATTTACATTGCTGGAATTCTTACAATTTGATGATCATTTTGAATATAAGCATCATAGATTTTGCATTAGACATACAAATTTTAGATCTAATGCAAGTATTTTGTTTACTCAGAGCAAATATGTTATCTTCTGTGCAAAATATATGACGTGTATATTCAAAATATTCCTAGTCTTGCAAGGAATCCAGCAATGTCAATTATATTATCCTAACTTTAGTTTGAGGTATTATTTATTACTAAAAATGTAAATATACTGTTATAACCCAAAAATTTCTCTGGTAGGGAGGGAAGGTGGGGGTGAGGGAGGAGGTGGTATTTTGATTGACAGATAGTATTGTAAGTACAGTATATTTTGTTTATTTATTGAAGATACAGTCGGCCCTTAACATAACGCTGGGGTTAGGTAACAGAGATACCCTGTGAATGTTAAAAACTGTACTTTGCTGCCCCCCCCCCAAAAAACCCTGGCCCCCATGTCCTTATTTACATGTATATACCTGTGTGTAGTTCAAGTTTTTAAGACCAAATTATTTTGCAAAATTGGGGGTTGACCTCTAAAAGGGTAATAGTTTAGATTAGGTTGAAAAATATTTACCAGTAACTACCAGTAAGCAATGGAAACAGCACGCATGCACCACCAGCTGTGAGTATCGGTACAGTCGCCAGGGCAGATCTTTAGCGTCATCATAGCTAGCCCAAAGTAGCCAAATCCATGGTTTGGTATACACAGGGACGATGTAAAAACAAAGTATTCATTTGTTAAAGTTTACAGAGTAGTTCTGCTATAACGCGATAATTGTGTTCTTGTAAAATATCGTGTTATAGAAATGCGTAATAGAAATAACAGGGCTTATGGAGAAAATAGGGTTAGGTGCAGATTACCGAAATCAAAAATTTAGTAGTTTAACACAAAGAGATAGCACAGTCTAAATAAATGTTACATTCATATTTAATAATGAAATCATACAGTAAATGTAACACTTTACTTGATGGGGGAAAGGGTGATTTGAGGTTGATAAAATCGAGCTTCTCTTCAAGTGTTATATCCTTTCTTTTGATCATCACCGGAATTCTATCACCAGAACTTCTTGTTGATATTCTCTTTACTATATTCACAGTTAATACAGTGTGGGTATGCTATACTTAAACGGATCCTACTACGAATATTCCTATAACGAACGGTTTTACCTATAAAATTGAGAATGCTACTGAGCAATAAACTCCTACATCGAACTTTATTTATTTTTTTCTAATTTATTGTTTTATTACAAATATTAATGATATTCTTTATTCCAGGGTTTAGATGCATATTTATGCACTTTTTAAAATTTTACAATTTTATATATTTTTCAGTGTTAAGTGGTTGTATTTGGGGCCTGGAGCGGATTAATCCTATATCGAGCAAATGCTTGAACAAGGTTCTAGAACCAATTAGATTCGTTATAGCATACCTACTGTACCACAAAGTTGGAGAAATAGTAAGCAAAATCGCGTTATAGCAAAAAAGCGTTAGCGTTATACAAATATCGCTAATTCATAAATCGCGTTAGAGCTTGAGACGATAAAACAGCGTTATAGCAGAACTCACTGTATTTATAGATACTGTACATAAATTTTTTATTTGAAACATCAATCTTTTAATTAAACATTAAAAGAAACTCGATAAACATTTTTCATTAAAATATTACATCACAAGTATATTTTACCTTAACTGTGACTGAATGAATATAATCTCAGAAATAAAATGGAAATGTAATATTTTGGCTGAAATGATGTACATATTACTGTACAGTGGAAAGTGGATAAAATTATGAAAACAATGACTTTGCTTTCTTTGCTTTTCAAAAGATTTTACCGTAATCACTTTTGAATAGTTTTCAGTTAAAAACTGTTGTACTGTACTCGTACTGTATAACAATATCTATCCTATCATTAGCCCCACAACTGAAAACCATTGACGATTACGGCAACATCTTTTGAGCCGAAAGAAAGAGAGAGTCATTGCTTAGGCCAATTTTATCCCACTTTCCACTGTAATATGCATATCATTTCAGCAAAATATTACATTTCTATGTTCTCAGAAATAAATGGTAGTTTTGTTGAAACGTAATGTACAGTATTTAATATTAAAATGCAAAATACTATAAAACAATTAATACACCCAAAAATACTGGCTGGCATCTCCACTGCCCCTGCTCCTGCGCCCAAGGTCACCTCACCACCTCCTAACTCGCTCCCTCCCCTCCTCCGCACCGTCACTACTGCCGACAACAAACACAAATGCCTTTTGAATAAAACTGCACCTCCACTTCCTATGTACAGTACTTGTACTGAACTGTACTGTGCTGTGCATTTTACAAACAATAAACATGGCAAGAAAAGCTATTAAAAAAAAGAGATAAAATTTCACTTTACTGTACCGCACTTCCGGCGACAGGGCGATCATCGGGCTCATGGTCACTCAATTCCATAACAGGTGGTGAAGTGGGGCGACGGTGGATTCAGCTGCTTCCTCACTGCCGCCAGTGATTGATGGTGTTAAATCTCTCCTTCGGTGATCAAAGAACATGGTGATGGGGAGTTTTCGCTCTCTTTCTTTCATTTCTTCCATGATGTTTTTGTATGGAGCGAAACGTCATCCATCCTCGCATGAATTTCAGGGCACGCACCATGAGGGGTCCATACTATAGGCCAGGTTTTTCAGTGCCTCAATATTCCTGGTCATCTTCCCCAACTTCTCCAACGTTATTTCTGGTGCTCTTCCTCTTCCCTTTCGCTTCCTCTTCCTTGCCTGAGTCTACTAACTCCTGTAGATCCTCCTCGGTCAGCTGAGTGTCGTGTTTCAATTAGCTCCCTAATCTCGTCCTCTGCCATGTCCCGAAGCCTTCAGCAGCCACTTCTTGACAGTGCCAGGGTCTTCCTGAATATTTTCTAAAATGCATCAAAATAATTTTCCTTGTCATCGTCTTAAGCACCAAACAGCTCCTCCCAGTCTTCTTGAACAGGGCTAGAGGGTACGTGGTTTTTCGAATCGTTTTCAATTAAAAAATGTTACAGCACATGTATATTTTACCTAAACTGTGCCTGAATGAATATATTCTTAGAAATAAATAGTAGTTTTGCTGAAACGTGATGTATTTCAATGTAAAATAGGATAAAATACATGATGAAAACAAAAGACTTTACCTAACCTTCCGATGTTCAAGAGATGTTACTGTTTTTAATAGTTTTCGCCAAAATACTGTTATATTACAATGGTATTCTATTCATACTGTGCTTGATATAATACATTCAAGGAAATGTAATATTTTTGCTGAAATGACTTACGACATAACGAAAGTGGATAAAATCGTGACGAAAACAATGACTTCGCTTTTTTCTTCAAAAGATGATACCGTAATCACTAATGGTTTAGTTAAAAAACTGTTGTATTACAATATTATTCCTTCCTAATTGACTTGAATAAATACTTGAATGGAAATATACATTATTTTGTTGAAACTACTCAATGCTTAGTGTAAAGTGTCGTAATAATAAATGGTAAACAATTTGCCTTCTCGGCATCAGAAACCAGGCACATAGCCTCAGTTTATAGGACGTAGAGTGTTTTTACTGAAGGTTTTGTTGTTCCATTACCCTCAAAAATGTGGGTCGACCTATAAACGAGGAATATCATAAATTAACGATTTCTTGGTCAAAAAATCAGGGTCGACCTATAAACGAGGGGGGGGTTATAGACGAGTATATACGGTAATAGATACTGTTGTTATGAAATTTTTGGACAAAGGGTATAATGATCTGTTAAAGATAATGAATATTTAATAATGTGAGACAAACCATCAATTGAAATTGTAGGATAAATGTGTACAGATAAAACTAGGATTTCTTCTCATGGTATTTTGTTGCATTTTGATAGACAATCAAATAGTTCAGTTTCTTAAAATTGTACTTTCCTCTCACAGACAAGTTGTTATGGAGATTTATGCAAGAAACATAGAAGACAGTTGCAGCAACTACCACAAATGAAGATGAACATGGTGAAGCACCAAGCTGTTGACTTTAATTTTAGACGTGTTAATAATAGAACGAACAGTGCCATTGATATCACCGGTGAAACGAGTCGTTTGTTTGTTAATGGTAATGATATGCTCCAGAGTATCAGTAATAATAGTAGTGAAACATTTAATGTGGATATTCAAACACCATACAGTAGAAGCAGTATGCCTTTTAATAGCAGTGTTGTGGTTTCATCCATTCTCACTAACATACTTACCCACAAATATAACCCAGAAATGACAAAACTCAGTAGCTTACCCGTCAGTGATACCATATGTACCAAAGGATTCAACAGAAACTGTATTTTTAAACGCAGTACAAGAATTGAATCCAGTATAAAAAATTCTCGCATTAGTAAAGCCACAGTGAAAGCTGACAGTGGTGATTCTGGTGATGGCACCTTTGAGAGAGAGAATGTAATTTATGGTGGCATTACCAGTGATAGCATTCTTGGTAATAGCACTTCAGAAGGAGGCAGTAGAAGTAGTGGAAGCAACATTCTCATCAACAGAAGGGCTTCTGCCATCAGTAGTACTGCCTCCACCAGTAACAGTAGCTCAGCCATAACCAACAGTATCAACCGTAAAAGGGGAGAACATAATAAGAAGAGGAAGAATCACAAACAGGGACGGATGCGTCGTGGTCGTGGTCACAGACGCCTTGACCGTAAACAAAAGCATCAAGGCAGAGGACTGCAACGACACAACAGGAACTTGGCTCTTTGGATAGACAGAAGACAAGTGAAAATGTTTAGTGGTAAGTTTATTTTAGCTTTGTTTTAATAGAATATTTATGAATATGATATCCTCCAATACCTCTTACAGTATTTGTTGTTAAGAGTATTTATGAACCTTCAGTTTCAAGTTTAGAAAATTTCTAAAAATGTAAGGAAATGTTTAAACAGTATGTGCTTATCAGAAGGATTATATGGTTCTGTTGATTATTTATTACCTGTGTGTGTGTGTATGTAATAATAATAAATAATAATAATTAACGGTTTATTGAAAGAGCTTGGCAGCCAGAAGGCTGAAAATATACAGTTACATATTTGGGGAATGGGTTTCGGTACAAATAATATACAAGTAACATAAGTGATATAAATAAGATATATAATAACTAGATGGGGAAAAGCTCAAACTACAGTGCATTTCAACATAGTGACAGTGCAAGTAGTATTTACTGGGAATTGAATACACTGGTCTAATACAAGTTATTGATAATTTTACAATGGTTGGGACTGGGCTGTTCTTATAGATCCAGTTAGATTACTGCATTATGGGCTGGATACGGTTGTGGTGTGAACTACCAACAATTCTCGGGCTAGGGATCTCAGGTGGTAGTAGGGCGATTATGGGGATGGTGTAAAGCTTCTTACTTAAATTTGCAGATGAGGTCGTGGTGATGGTCGGTGAGAGTGAAAGGGTCAGTGTGTTGAAAGCTTCTTGATATGTGGAGTAGGAAGGGAAGAATAATCTTGCATGCCCTCTTTTGCACTTTTCTAGGTGTTTCACGTTGTGTGGCATTTAGGGAGAAGACCAGGTGGGAGGCATAGGTGAGCTTGGGAAGTATGAATGTTGTGTAAGCACTGAGGCTAGGGTGCAAGACTCCAGGGGACTTGGTGGCCGGAGGAGGTGGAGGCGAGGAAGCTACTGGAGGATTTGACAACTTCACTGGCCGTGTAGTTTCCAATTTAGTTTGTTGTCATAGTGTTGGCGAGGAGCCGTGGAATCTACCACCTGGGTGTTAGGACCTAAAGTAATGGAAGGAGGTGGGACAATGTGGGAGGAGAGGTTGATGTGCATAACCATGGTTTGGTATGGTTGATGGTGACATAGTTGTTGGTGGCCCAGTTTTTGAGTGTTCAATAAATCCTGAAGGCGGTATAGTTGGGAGTATTAGAATTGTTGGCCTTTAGTCCCAATGGTGGAGTTGTCGACATATTTCCAATGGCCGGGAATTTTTCTCTTAGGGCATCATTAATGAGCATAAAGAGCAGAGTGGTCCCATCTTGGTGCCTTGGGGACGCCACAGGTGAGTGACTGAAAGGTGGAACAGCCCCACCGGGCGTACAGCTTGGCGTGGGTCACTGAGGAGATCTGTAGCCATGGTATAAGACTTCTCGAAGCCCGAGGTCAATAGCTTTTGTTGATGATTATATTGTGGTCGACTAGGTCGAATGCTTTAGTGAAATCAATGAAGGCGACGGCTACAGACGTTTTCGTTTTCTTGAGATGGTATATATGTCGAAAGCTGACAAGACAGTGAGTGGTGGAGGAAGTTTTCATGTTGCCAAATTGCTGGTCTCGACTCCTGCAATATCAGCCTCGCCCAGTCGAACACAAAACTTTCACAAGATTGGCTGGGTATTGGGTGATTGCAATAGGTCGTAGCTGATTTAAGGATTGTGGGCTGGTTGACTTGGGCACTGGTGATACATAAGAGGTCTTCCAGTGGGCTGGGCATCTGGCTTGACTAGAGAAGCATTGATGATGGAGCATAGGGGTTTAGCTAGCTCGGGGAGAACTCATGAGTTTCATTGGTAAGTCAATGGGGTGGTAAGAAGCGTTTTAATTTTGTTGTCCAGGCGTTTTGCTACCTCAAATTCTTCTACTAGGTCTCAGTGGGGGGCTGGTAGGTAAGCAGGGAGAGTGGTTTGTGTCAAGCCCGAGGCGTCTACAATATAGCAGCGAAATGGTTGTTTGTTTGCTCAGCTAGCGTCAACATTAGTGAGATGGCTAAGGAAGGGGAGGGGTGTTTCTTATTGTTAAGTCCACAGAGTTCTTTAAGCTTACCATACCATTGACTGATGTTGGTCTGCTTCAGAATGTTATGGTGGTTGGGTGAGTGGGACTTCTTTGCAGTCTCTGCGTATTTAATGAGGATGGCTTCGATTCTTGAAGGGACCTGTAGCGGATGTGGTCATTGAGATGAAAACTCTGTCTCTCTGTTGCATAAGTCTTTTTGATCGAGGTGTGATCAAGGCAAGTCAGCTGGGTGAGATCTGACCGGACTTCTCGGGGGAGGAAGAAGTGGTGGTGAGCTTCTGTGGTGGTGTTGGTGCAATTTGCATCCATTTGGTTTCCACGTCATCAGCTAAGTACTTCAGTCAGGGATAGTGAACTATCCACTGCCCAGCGCACAGAGTCAGTAATCGGCCTGTAGGTCTTGATGTAGGGTCTCTGTGCTTGAGTGGGAGTGGCAGCTGGGGACCAGAGCACTGATAAGTGTGTGCTACACCCGATAGGAGGCATTGGTTGAGGTGGTTGGTACTGGTCCGCTAAGTCAGTTAAGATAAGGTCAAAGGTATTTTGACCGTGTGTGTGTGTGTGTGCATGTGCTTGCGTGCGTGCGTGTGCTTTATGGCAGGAGATGGCACTCAGTGTGGTAATGAGTGAAGTAATCTCCAAGACACAGGGGCACATCACACAGGGGCACATATGACTCTTGTCCCTCTTACGGCTGTGTCTCGGGTAACACAGGTTGTACACAGCGGCCTCCTGTCCAGGATTCTCTCTCAGCTGTGGCCACATGTTACATCAAGGCGTTGGTCTGTAGTCAAAACTTTACGCGGCCTGTGGACCTGTCTATCTCCTTGCCTCTGTACCCTTGCCTAAGATGCAGCTGCAGGTGTGGCAGAGGGGCCAGGAGCCACCAATGGAGCAGCACTGGTAGCAGGAGGAGCAGCGGTGGTGGCAGGTGTTGCAGCAGTGATGACAGGAGAATCAGTGGTGGTGGCAGGTGTTGTAGCAGGTGTTGCAGCAGTGATGACAGGAGAATCAGTGGTGGTGGCAGGTGTTGTAGCAGGTGTTGCAGCAGTGATGGCAGGAGAAGCAGTGGTGGTGGCAGGTATTGCAGTAGTGGTAGCAGGTGCTGCAGCAGTGGTGTCAGGAGCAGCAGTGGCATCCCTTGCAGCCCCTACAACCTTTGCAGTCCCACGTCTCTGTGGCTGCCAATGGGGACGTGTGTTGGGGACATCAGGAGTGTGGTGGATAGGCACTCCTGAGTCAGGCCAATCCTCCGGCCTGAATTTTGGGAACTTCTCAATGATGTGCTCCACAAAATCCAGCATCAACATCTTCTGGGTGTCAGGGGTGTACATTTTGTATAATGCAAAGGCATTGAAGAGGGCCATCTGGATAATGTAGAAGGTGAACTTCCTGGTCCACTTGAAGGTTTGCCTTTGGATGGGATAGTATTGTACCATCTGGTCATAATGGTCCACCCACCCATGTGCTAATTGTAGTCTTCCACCACGATAGGCTTGTTGATGGTTTTCTCGATGTGGTGGAACTTAAGGTCCTACCCCTTCACCCTGGTGTGCACCTGCTTTGTCATGGTGTTGGTGCTGTGGAAGGTTGACACCATACTGACAATGCGCTTGTCTTTCCATAACAACACCATGACATTCCCCTTGTGTCTTGCCTGCACCTCATCTGCCAGGTTCTTCTTTTTCTCCCCGGCTTTACAGGTCCTGAGGAGCACCCCATGCCAGTCGTAGTGTGCCTCACACAAACACCTGGTGAGAGAAGAGGGTTTGGCACAAGAACATTGAGTTATAATAATTGTCCATGAGTACCTATATTGATACAGTTTATTTAGCCAGAAAAACACAGATACAGAGTCGATAATAATAGCAATATTAACATGGCTGAGCCAGTTGAGAGCCTTCAGTCGTTCGACGAGTTCCAATACGGTCATGGAGGTTGCTTTTGTTTCACCGGTGTACACTTGGAAGTTCCATATGTAGCCTGACAATGAACTCTGCTAGCATGTACATTTTGATGGCATACCTCTGCAGTTTATGAGGGTTATACACATGGAATGAGAGTCGTCCTTTCCAACCCAAACTTCCTTCATCAATGCAGGTATGCTCCTCAGGAAGGTAGACACTGGTACCGACTGAGGAGGTAGGATATCGCTGATCGCTGTGTGAACTGTGATAAGGCGGTCTGTGTTGTCTGCAGGCACAGCACAACTGTTGAAGGCATGGAAGTGCTTCAGGGTGGCATGGAAACGAACTCCAGTCATATTCCTGAAAACGGGATAGTCATGCACCAACTGTTTCTTCCACTAATGCTGCATGCTGGAAAGGTCAACCACACCCATCAGTAAAAAGAGCCCCAGGAACTTGGTCATCTCTTCTTCACTACACAGGGCCAAGCATTTTCAATTGTATCAATGAAGGCAGCATACTGGTTTGCCTCCACAGTCAGGTACTGTAGCAACTCCTTTGTGAATATTAATTGGAAGAACTGCAGGTAAGTTGTGGGAACTGGGATGAGAAGACCTGGAGTTCCAGTAAATGGGCTCTCTGTAGGAATGTACGGCCCTGTGCTCTACTGTACACTATAGGGGGGAAAGGCCTGCTGTTGTGCACCCCTTGCACCCTGGGGGAGTGTATGACCTCCACCCTTTTGCTGAGCCCTCCAAGAACCTCTTAGCCTCCCCCCAGACCCCTGTCTAGGCCCTCTCCATCTACTCCGTTTTATGGGAAGTGACTGTTGTGAGGAGTCTGCTGAAAATGATGGTGTTGATAGTTGTGGTGATAGCAGCACATTTATCATCAATGCGTACGTTGATTACAGGGTCATTTTCATCAAATCAGTCCTAGTGTATTGTTTCCATCTGGCCGAGGGCCCCTCTGCAGATTTTTGTCATGACAGTGCCAAGGATACCTTATTCGGCACTCGAGTTTGGGTTGTTTGTTGTCGGGTTGTTTATCAGCCCATCCTTGAGATGCTCTCTGATAGCATGTG